CTTTTGAAGACTCCTGTGCCCGCAATTTTCAACCAATTTTGATCAATAAGGACTCGTTGGAAAGACAATGCTTTTAGCTACATTTATGGTGTACATTATTTTTTTTGTAGATGTAGATGGAGCTTTTCTATATCTAAAAAACTGAAGGCACTTTTTTTCGACATTTTAAAATTTGTAGGGCAATGTAGTGCACCACTTTATTAGTCAAATAAAAAGCAGAGAATATATTATAAACGATTTTATTTTATTAGATGTAATATTAGGAACATAAGAAACTTAAAAAACTATAAACTAGTAGTGATGCCCACGAGATCGAGACTTTGCATCGTATCATCTCGTCTCGTGAACAGCACTATAAACTAGAGATTTCTTTGGTCCTGTGTTAGATAAAACTGAAAGAAAACTGCAATAATTTGCAAAAAGCAAACATGGTTAAATAATACATATATACGGTACTCTGTATAATTGCACTACATTGCTCCCAACCCTGTGCACTACAATGCCCCCAAGCACTTTCTTCACGTTGACTTAAATATCTCAATAAAAACAAAATTAAACGTCAAAACAATAAAAATCCGAACTCTACACGGAGAAAAATGAAAAAATGATTTATGCAGTCAGTTTAGCACTCCTTTATAGAATAATATGTGACAGGTACACACTATAGTATTAGAAGTTTCATAGCTGAACACTTTGGGACTCAACACAAGTTATCCCATTCATCAGCTTAAACAAGACTGTTTATATAGTCTAAGAGCACAGGTCTCCTCAGAGGTGGGCAGGTTATTCTAAAATGTAACGCTACAAACTTGGTGGGGAGTTGTTCCAAATGACTTCCAGATTCCAAATTTTCAAACCAATAAATCGTACCTGATCCTCTTTTCGAATTATCTCTTTTACAGATAGTCGGAAACTTGAAAATGTATTATCTTAATGTGGAAGCTTTGATTCAGAAGACTGCTGATTTTTCATTATTAAAAATTTTTTAAACAAAGATTTTATAGATAGTTATGTTCATGATTTTGAGAAAAGTGTGGATAGGGGGAGTGGGGCAAGACTGGGTACTTAAGGTTTAAAGCGCAAAAAAACGAAAATTATCGAATATATATTTTATTATTTTCTTTAATAACTATCTTTGGGAATCAGTCTTTAGTAATAAAGGCGTACAAAGGCCATCTGTTTCTTAAAAAATCATAAAATTTATAATATGGAAAAAATTGCAAATCTCCCCATCTTGCCCCACCGGCGCGGTACTAAAAAAGCAACCTATTTCTGTCGACAAATTTTACAAGTAAAGGTTGCATCTTCATCTTCGTCATCGACACCAGCACAACTGCACAAAGCCCATTGACCGCAGACAGAACAAGCAGCCCAGCCTTCATTTGAGTCTAAATAATAACCATTACAATTTATAGAGACAAGGTGTATTTTCCACTTTACCATCGCTAATTATTGATTTAACCTGACAAGCTTTTTTCTTTTTGGTCACTCTTATTTTATTCAGTCTTTATTTAAGTAGTTTTCTTAACTTCCCTTATTTCTCTTTTCTTTTGCTTCATTTGTGTACCCCGTCTTGCCTCACTCTTCCCTACTCTATCTTGCCCGCACCTACGAAATTGAATAAAATGATTAATTACTACAATTTACGATTCAACAAAGAAAAAATAAATGCTTCCCTTCTTCTGTTACCCTTGCTATTTAAAAAAAATTTAATATACACTGAAAAACTGTTGGTAGAGCTGTTCGCCCAATGCGGTGAACTGCTGCGTTAAAAAGACACGCACAGCTCACTTTATTTTTGGGCGAGTTACTCTCCTTTTTGGGCGAGCAACTCTCCTTTTTGATAGAGCTGCTGACCTTTTTGTCAAGCAGCCGCTCGCCAACGCCATTGGTAGTCAAGTTTAGGAGAGCAACTCGCCTAATTTTGATAGAGCTGTGAGTTTAAAGTTAAGTAGCGCTGCACAATAGTCAATAGCGGAACTGCTCTACCAACAGTTTTTCAGTGTAGTTCATCAACTGTTATTATTAAATAAATAAAGACCTCCTAAAAAAAAGAAAAATTTACAAGAAAATCGTCGAAAACAGTTTTTTTAGTAAAACAGATAAAAGATTTGTTCTCATGGCTTTTAGGTTCTGTAAACAAGAAACTATCGTCTCGGTGCAGTATTATGTAAAATATAATCGCGATTGGTTCTTCTTCTTCTTTGTATAGTGGCTTCGACTAGTCAGGCCAATTCGAGATATATAAGTGCATGTATACACGGAGAGAAATCTGTTGCTATTATTGCTTGCAGAATCTTTACAAATTTTATTAGTCACTGCTGAATAGAATTTTAGCTTGAGGTTATAATAATTTATATACAAAATCATCTATTTAATGTAATAGAGAGTTCGATGCAATAAACACAAAAAGCAGCTGCTAATTTTGCACGAAATCTTTATTATAAATATAAAGAGAACGTGCTATAAAAGTATTAGATTCTTCTTATAAGAATCGCTCGAACTCCGACTGATTTTCAGGCGGACTTTATACAACACAATCTTACTTGCGTGTACGCACATATAACTCACACACACATATATTTCTCTGGATGGTTTCGAGGAACGGAACGCGTACAAAGCGGTGACGTTTGCAATAACATAACCTAACAATTTTCACATGTTGCTTATATATTCAAACACGAATAAAAATGCAATAATTTTTAAATAATATACTTACTATTAAATAAATATTATCTTTTTATAACAGCAACAAGTATTAAATACTACATATAATATATAATGTTTTACCAGACGACAAAACTGTCCAGAGAAATATATATGTGTGTGAGTTATATGTGCGTATACACAGGTAAGATTGTGTTGTATAAAGTCCACCTGAAAATCAGTCGGAGTTCGAGCGATTCTTATAAGAAGAATCTAATACTTTTATAGCACGTTCTCTTTGTATTTATAATAAAGATTTCGTGCAAAATTAGCTACTGTCTCTTATGCTTATTGCATTGAAAGTATTTTTACAATAAGTATATGAATCCATGCTAAAAATATAAGAGAAACGTTAAGCAATTTAAGTAATGTGCTCTTTCGAGTAATATTAGCAGCAGATTTCTCTCCGTGTAGTTTATGGTTAAATATTTTAACTGATTTGTTTGTCACTTCACAAGAGAATTTTGTCCAAAGTTTATATAACACTAGTTTTGTTTCTCATGAATGATTGTTCTGAGTTGTTATAACACTAGATTCTCACTGTAGGTGGAGGGATAGGTGAGGTTGGGTAATCCTTACCTAAGTAAGGATTTCCTCTAGTATCCCACGTGATTTTATTTAAAATTTAAATTTAAATCTAATGATTTTATTACCAATCCGCCATTTTATTTGAATTATTTAGTTAATTTATTAATTGAGAGAAAATCCTTCTTTGAAATTTCTTCACTTTTTCTTAACCTATTTGATTTTCATTTGTTTATTAAAAATTCTTTTTTTTTAAAATTTTTTATTTATTTATTATTATTTTTTTTTTAAATAATTTTTTAGAGAATATTTTTTTGTTTGTGAGTTTTCAAATTTTCTTGTTTGGTTTATCCTTTCCTTTTAAATTTGAATATTTATAATTTTTCTTTTCCAAATTTTAAGAGGCTAATTAGCTTTATATAGCTTTTGAGATACCCACCCCCATGGTGGTGTTCTCCATATCTGCAAGCATGCGATTCCTGGAGTCGACTTGTTCATTATCTTAACATAAAGTAACAGAACCAGTATATTAAATTGAGCAACTAGTTGCTGTAAGAATAAAATAAAAATTAAGTAAAATTATATTTTAACTTAGATTAGATTAGATTTCTTTATTTTGTTCCAGAAAACCATGAGAACAACCATAAAAATACAATAAATTCAAAAATATACATAATATAAAATATACAAATTTATGATACAATTTAATTAAGAGTTGTTTAACAATAATTAAATTGAAATATAAAGTATAATCAAAATAGTAAACAAATAATTAAAAAAATATATATATGTATATCTATAAAAGAGACTCTACAACTTCAGACGCTCAGTGTAGTACAAAATAGTATATATGTATTTTGTCATAATCATACAATAAAATGATAATAAATATATTAAGCAATGACAAAATTAAACTATAGTAGAAGAACCTTACAAACATTTAATTATTAAGTGCTAACAAATATCTAAAAAGTTTGAATTTAAAAATACCAATACTTTCTGCATTCGTTATTGAACTAGGAAGAGAGTTCCAAAATGTTACAGCAGTGACAATAAAAGAATTCCTATATTGTTCAGTTCTACAAAAAGGTACCCTGAACAAATCAGGGCTTCTTACTTCTCTCAAAGTAATTTCACTTCTAAAAGTAAACTTGTTATACAGATAAAGAGGCCTTCTTGTATTCAGTGTAACATATGTCAAACATCCAATGAACAATAGACGTCTATTTTTAACATTCAGCCATCCCAGTCTCTGACGATAAGAAGATATATGTTCATCCCTTTTTAAATTAAATATAAATCTTATACACGAATTAAGGAGCTTCTCCAGTTTATAGTTGAGTTCATCTGCAAGATCATTATAAACAGCACAATAATAGTCAAAATGAGGCAATATTAACGAGGAGACAAGCTGTGTTTTTAACTTAACCGAGAGAGCCTTTCTATTTGATTTAAACTGTTGCAATGTTGCATACACATTTCTACAAATTTGTCCAACATGTTTTTCCCAAGAAAGAATTGGATTAAAAGTAACTCCCAAGTTCTTAACAGATTGCACATAAGGTATCACAATATTATTTATTTTAATTGGAGGGCACTTATTTAAATCCAAATTATTTATGTTCCATGAGGAACCAATAATCATTGAATAGCTTTTATTAAGATTAATTTTAAGTTGATTTTCCTCCGCCTAATTGTAAACAGCCATAACATCCCTATTAATCAGTTCTAAACTATTATTTAATTCATTAAGACTTGTGTGTATGTAGATTTGCAGATCATCAACATAATACATATACTTAGAATATTGAAGAGAACTCCTCAAATCATTTGTAAAGACTGTGAACAAAAAAGGACCCAATACCGAACCCTGAGGGACACCTGTTCCAACAGGACCCCACTCAGATCCCTCACCATGAGGACCATAAACAGATTGCCTTCTGCAAGACAAGTAAGATGCAATCCATTTCAAAGCAGATGCTGACAAACCAAACGACTTTAATTTTAATAATAAGAGATTATGGGGAACCATGTCAAAAGCTTTGCTAAAATCAAAGAAAACAATTATAGTTACCTTCTTGTTATCAATAGCATTAAGTATGTCATCAGTAATTTTAAGTAAAAGAGTTTGAGTACTAAATCCTTTTCTATAGCCAGATTGAAAAGGATCGAGAATATTATTAGACTCAACATATTTATTCAACTGAGTACACACACACTTCTCAAGAACCTTTAACAGACCACACAAAATGGCAACCGGTCTATGATCCCCAGGGTGTTGTGGAATTTTAACTTTATTAACTGGTTTAATAAGAACATTTCTCCACTCATCAGGAAAAACTGAGGTTTGCAAAGACAGGTTAAAAAGATGTAACACATACGGTAATAAAACAGGCATTGACTTTTTAATAACACTTATAGAAATACCATCAAATCCCTGTGCTTCAGTCTTTATGCCTTCTAAGGCCTTTAATATGTCAGAAGGACCAATGTCTTCAAAATAAAAAAGACTATCATTAAATCCAACATCATGAAGAAGCTCAGAGAGGAACTGAGGCGTTATATTAAAGGATGGATTTCCACAAATAGTTAAAAAGTAATCATTGATTTCATTCACAGAAAACGTGAGAGGAGAATCATCAATTTTATTGCTAATAATTCCAAGACGCCTCAGTTCCCTCCAGAGCTCCCCCTGATCCGTTATTCCCTGCAGCCTATTTGCATTATAACTGTCACGTGCTTCTCTTAACAAAAACTTTACTTTATTTCGCAGCATTTTATATTTATTCTTAATTAAAATATTTCCTACTCTCTTCCATGCTCGAAAAGTAGAGTCTCTTTGTCTTATAAGATCCCTAATCTCCAAACTCATCCAAGGACACAAATTATGTTTCTTTCTCTTGTAGGCACATAAAGGGGCATGCTCATCTAAAGCTATATCAATTACATTACAAATAAAAGTTAATTTACCATCAACTGTACACAATTGTAAAAAATTATTCCAGTCAACATTACAAAGAGTCGTTAAGAAATCCTCATCATTAATTCCCCTTAAATTTCGACAAAACCTTACAGAACACTCCTGTACATTAGGTTTCCATTTGTAAATTATTTCAATGAGTTCATGCCCCGCGACAAAAGGAACATGAGATTGAGAAAAAGCAATTAATTTATTCTCATCATCAACCACACATAAATCAAGCCATGTATTAGAATTGCCAGTATGGTGAGTAGCAGCATACGGAACAACAAATAAATTAAAAGATTCAAAAAAGAACCTAAGATAATTAGTTTCAGGTGAGTTTTTGTTCAGATCATAATATACTCTGGCTTATTATCAAATTTACCCGGAGATAGGTAAAGAACCTTAAAATTGAGATCACTTCTAACATATGCCGCAACACCACCACCACGCTTCTCCTTTCTATCTCTACGTATTAAGTTATAATTGTTAATGTTTATCATACCATCTCTAATTTTCTCAGTTAACCATGTTTCACTTAAAGCCACAACATGAAATTCATTCGACGATAAATGAGCCCTTAAAAGATTAATATTAGATCTAAGTGAATTTATGTTGATATGGCAAATCCTTAAAGATGAAATCTCTGTAGATCGTGAAGAACCAGAGCCTAATGATGTCACATTTGTAGAGAAAGGTTGGGAAGGCTTATATCTAATAATTATAAAAACTTAAAAATTTTTAAAGCATATAGTAGTTGGTATATTGCTTTTATTGCTCTCTCCTCTCATCCTTGTTTAATTAAATAATTACATTTTCATGGTATAAAAAATTACTGATTTCTGTAACAGCTTCTAAATTCGGATTATATATTAATGAGACTAGCCTTGAAAGGTCTAGAGATCGAAAATTAAATATTGTGAACAAAGGTAGTTTAAGGTAGTGGTCTATCGAGCTTATCTCACATCCGCATTTGCAGCCAGGAGGGATATTCCATCCCAGTCTCAAAAATAATTCTCCCACGCAGACGTGGCCCGTCCTGAGCCTGGTGATCAGGTTGATTGCTCTTCTCGACAAGTCATATCCCCTGAACCAAGGTCTCTCCGTTTTTGAAGTAATGTGGTTGAAATATACTTGTCTGGTTCTTGTTACCGGAAAGAAAGGCCATTCTAGTCTATTGGTAGAGTTGAAGTCTTTATCTATTAGGTTTCGCCAGTCCTCCTTTGAAAAGGAAGACTTCCTTCCATATCGTAGTTCCCCGGCAATCTTAGACAATCTATCTGCCTCTTCATTGCCTCGAATGCCAGAATGGGAAGGAATCCAGACTAGCACAATTTTATTGTTTTGATCAGTTATTGATTGCACCATACCTGAAATTTCGTGAATAATTGTGCGTGTTTAGTTGTCTGGGAATCTGTCTTTGATTAATTGTAACGATCTAAGTGAGTCTGTCATCATACAAGTGTTTTGAAAATTGAGTGTTGTAATTAGTTTCAGTGCTGAGTGTATTCCACTGAGTTCAGCCATGATAGGAGAAAAACAACCCGTAATCTTGTCCAACCTTCTATAATTTGTGTCAGGAATAAATATACCACAGCCGGCTTTCCCAGTTTTTTCCGAAAAGGAGCCATCCGTGTATATAATTGTGTGATCATTATAGTGCTTCGATATTATGGAATTTGTGGTTTCATTAGGGTTTTCAGTTGATTTTATTTCGTAACCAGATTCCCTGTCTATGTTATTCCCAATATCAAAGGTTAGATTTGACCAATTAACATCAAAATAGGAGGCCTTTTGTGGTTTTTTATGTGTAGTTATGAGATTGTTAACTAAGGTGTAGTTATTTATCAGAGAAAAATTTGTTAAATATTTTGGAAGCTGTTTTCTTTGTTGAATGTGGATTAGGATGGATTCAATTTTATTAGAGACCAGGTTTTCATTCCAGCTTGATACTCGAACAAGATTCCTATCAATAAGTAAAGCCCTTCTTCGCTCTAGAGGGGGCTCCCCTGCTTCTGATAGTAAAATCGGAATCGGAGTTGACTTCATACATCCCATGATTATTCTTAATGCGGAGTACTGGATTTTATCAAGAGTTTTTAGTTTTTTCCGGCAGGAATTCATAAACAGTACAGAGGCCCATTCAAGTAGGGCCCTTGTAAGTCCACAATATATTGTCATTATTGAATCCGGGTGTACTCCATATGTAACTTTCGTTAGAGTTCGAATAATATTCAAAGATTTGCTTGCTCTTTGCGCTAATTCATCTATGTGATCTTGCCAATTTAGTCGTTAATAAAATTTTTTTTTTTTTTTTTTTTTTTATTCCATGATAACCCCAAGGTAGGTGATGTTAAGAGAGTTTATGATCTGCTGATCAACCACTCTGATGGTTTCATTGGAGAGGTCCATTGAGTTTCTGGAGAAGATGCAGAACTGACTTTTACCTGGGGATATACTGAAGCCTAAGGTTTTTAGATAGGGGACTAGTCTATCTATCGCTGATTCGATATGAGCCAGCGCCACATTGATGTCATCATCTGTCGAATACAACAAAATGTCATCTGCAAATTGTAGAATTTTGGTTTCCTCTGGTATAGTCACCCTGATGTGTCTAAGGGATATATTAAAAAGGAGAGGGGATAAACCCCCCCCCCTGTGGTACACCGACTCCACACATTCGAGGTGGCGCCAGATCATCCCCAAAATGCAGAGATCTATTAGTTATCATGAAGGATATGAAATTTAACAGTCTTCCTGGTACCTCATCATCTCTGAGCTGTTGGAGAACAGCTGAGGGGAGCAGTGCGTTAAACGCTCCTTTTATATCTAAGGCCACCACCGCTGTGCTTCTACCTTGAGAAAAGTTTTTGTTGATGTCCATGGCCAGGACCGAAACACAGTCAAGAGCCGAGCGCTCTCTTTGGAATCCAAACTGGTGATCAGGAATTAGGCCCCTCGACTCCACAAAGTGCTCCAGCCTCGCATGGACGATCCTCTCCATTAGTTTTCCTAGTGCTGATGTGAGGGATATCGGTCGAAATCTCTTTCCGCTTGGTTTTGGAATAAAACGAACAAGAGTTGACCGCCATGTATCTGGAAATGAGGACTGTATGAAGCATTTATTATAAAATTGGAAGATGGATTCAAGGCATGGTAATGGCAATTTTTTAATGACTGCATATGAAACTTTGTCTAAACTGGGAGCTGAGTCCTTCTTGCATTTAGATAATGCCGAAAAGAATTCCGTCCTGGTAAATGGGGCATTGTAACAGTTACTTTCGTCTATTTGATGGGGGACCGATTTAATTTTCTGGGAACAAAAGCTCCCGCTGTTGTTAAAGAATCGATAACTGCACGAGTGATTTTGTCATATGTTTCTTGAGTATTGACTGTTGAATTTTCGCAGTCCGGAAAGCCGGATGAAATCAGTTCGTTAAACAGGGTCCAATTGACACGTTTTAAATTGATCCTTGTGGAGCTTTGGCAAGTGGTCGCCACTCTAATTGCTATGTTCAATGAAACCGGGTTATAGTCGCTCCCGAATCGCGATTGGTTAATTCGTTTGTTAAATAGGGCCGGTACCCCGTTTTGCCCCACTCTCCCCTATAAGTCCCAAAAATCACTTTTTAGTTTTTGTAAATACAACTGTTTTAAAAAATGATTGGATTGGTTTAAAATTTGTTACTCAGGGGTTTCGGGGTCGCTGATTGCAAATATGATGTCAAAATAAAAAAATCTGTGGACAGATTCCTAATCAGCGACCCCGAAACCCCTCGAGTAACGAGTTTCAGGCAAATTGAATCGATTTTTAAAAGTCGATCGCCATATTGGATCCAACAATTTGAGTTTTGAAAATCTGACGTCATATTCGTTATCAGCGATCCCGAAAACTCCCGAGTAACAAATTCTTAGCGAATCCAATCATTTTTTTAAAAGTTGTATTTAGGTAAATTTAGGACAACTGTTGAAAAATCAATTTTGACAGT